TTCCGCAATTCATTAAATTCTTGTTGATAGATTAGTTGGTTTGTTTCTGATTTCTTAAGTTTATTTAATGACAGGTCAACCTCTGGCTGTACCAACTGCCATGGGGGAGAGGACAAAAGCTGAGTTGGAGCAATATTTTTAAGATTGATTTTGGCAGCAGAAATGTCAGATTTGATTCGTAGACCCCAAGTGGAGGAACAAGGGATGACTTTTTATAGTACATATCCTCATAGAGAGGATTGAAAACGCAATCATATGCAGGATTAGTAGGATTTGAATACAGCTTTGTGAGGTATTGCAATGAGAGTTTTATTCGACGTTGTTTTAGTGAGGGCTCATCCGCCTCTACATACAGACTATTGATAGGGGATGTTCTGAAGGCTCCAAGGCTAAGCCTCAGGCCATGATGATGAATACTATCTAATCATTTTAAATTACTTTTACAGGCTCCACCATAGATGATGGAGCCATAATCCAGTTCAGAGCGGATAAGTGCCCTGTACAGTTGGAGGAGGGTTGTCTGACCCCCTCCCCACTTTGAATTTGAAACGACTTTCAGAAGGTCAAGAGCCTTCAGGCACTTACCTTTTCAAATAATTGATGTGTGGTAAAAAGGTTAAATGGTGATCAAAAATAATACCCAGGAATTTAGCAGCCTCTTTTATAACTTTAATTGGAGTGCTATCTAAAACTAAATCAGGGTCCTTATGAGGTTTATATTTTCTACAAAAATGTATACAATTTGTTTTGGATTTTGAAAATTTAAAACCATTTTCCAACGACCATTTATTTATCTTATTTAGACACAGTTGTAATTGTCTTTCTATAGTACGCATGTTTTTACCACGACATGATATGTTAAAATCACCCACAAAAAGTGATCCATCAATTGAATCATTTAAAACTTTGGAAAGACTATTTATTTTTATGCTGAACAATGTAACAGATAAAATACTGCCTTGTGGGACACCCTGATCCTGATTATAATGATCAGACAGGGTTGAGCCCACACGGACTTGAAACTGTCTGTTTGATATAAGCTGGTTATAAATTGAGGCAAACGGCCTCGCAACCCAAAGTCATGTAAATCTTTTAAAATGCCGTGCTTCCATGTAGTGTCATATGCTTTTTCTAGATCGAAAAAGATAGACACTGCATGATGTTTGTTTATAACGGCATTCTTAACAAATGATTCCAATCCAACAAAATGGTCAATGGTACTGCGGTTTTTACGGAAACCACATTGAATATTTGTTATTAAATCATTTGATTCCAAGTACCAGGTTGATCTATTATTGACCATGCGTTCCATGGTTTTGCAAACGCAGCTAGTCAATGAAATGGGTCGATAATTGAAAGGATCAGTATGATCACGTCCAGGTTTAGGTAGGGGAACAATGATAGCATCACGCCATGAAGAAGGAAATTCTCCTGACGTCCAGATTTTATCAAATATTATCAAAAGGGTTTCTGAACAAGATTGCGGTAAATGTTTCAAAAGTTGATAATGTATATTATCAGACCCTGTAGCAGTATCATGAGCTTGTACAAGGGCAGTATGGAGCTCATGAATGGAAAAGACTTCATTATAATCTTCCCCGTTATCTGAATTAAAATTTATAGTTTTCTTTTCCTGCTGCTTTTGGTATTTTTGAAATTTAGGAACATAGTTAGCCGAGGAAGAATGCTTTGCAAGAGTTTCACCAAGTTTATTTGCAATATCGAATGTATCAGTTAACAATTGATCCCCATCTTGAAGATGATTATTGCTTGATTTAGTACCCTTACCTTTGATTTTCTGAATCATATTCCATACCTTGGACATAGGCGTCCGTGAATTTATCTTAGATACATAATTTTGCCAAGATTGGCGTTTGTTTTGTTTGAAAGTGCGCAGTGTTTTAGCATTTATAATTTTGAATTTATTTAGATTATGTACCATTGGATGGCGACGGAAATACTTTTCAGCCTTTTTCCGTGCTTTCCTAGCTTGTTTACATTCAGTGTTAAACCATGGTTTACGTATGTGAGGATTTGTGGAGGACTTCGGAATACATTCATCAGCTATTCTATTTAGTATTAAAATGAGAACTAATAGTATTAAAAAGATCCCTTATAGATGAAACCTTAAAATATGTATCCCCTGTAATGGAAAAATCAACATAGTCAAGCTGGATATGCCTTGACGGTGATTCTCTCATCACAAGGGGTGCAGAACGGGGGATCCTCACCTTTCAATAAATATTCACGGATGTAACGATAAAGGCCAATACGACATCGTCTTAAAATGACCTCTTCAGTTTTTTGGACTGACAGCCCAAGTAGGCCTAGGGGTACCCGATAGTTGGTTTAATTTGATGTATTTTATTGATACCTACTTGAGTGTCACATTTCTTTTGCATAAGATCTCTGATGTAAAATCGAACGACAGGTTTGTAAGGAATGAGAAGTGGTGTCACAGATTTTGCTTTAGCATCAGCATCAGCATCAGCCATTGTGTTACCAATGATTCCAACATGGCTTGGTAACCAACAAAAAACGATGTCATACTGGCCAGTAGCAAGTTTATTATAAAATGATATTAACTACTTATGCTTAGATTGTTTACCAATATATTTTAGAGCTGTTAAAACGGCATGGGATCCGGCTGTAAAAATGGAACTATTATATGGTAGTCGTGAAGACATAGTCCTGGATTCACTGACGGTGGCGCTATAATGGAAGTGGGAAGTAGGGTAGTGGGGAGAAAAAGTGAAAAGGTAAGTATTAGTTTGGTGTGATTGTTCCATCTTTTTCCTTGTAAAACGTTTAACGTCAGTAACTATTTGGCTTTTCAACTCAGTAGCAATTTTTTCTTCGCTCATGTCAGCCAGACAACGAGCGCGGCCCCTGATGATGCCTTTTTGGGAATTCAGTGTCTTGTGCACTGAGACAATAACCTGAGTGTTAACAGACTGTTGTAAAGACAACAGATTAACAGATCGTTATTTCCGTGCACATTCGACTAATAGCGAACCTGTACGAAGAAGTGTGACATTCTACTTCTCCACTTGCACCTTTGATGCCAAGGGAGATAGCAAAAGGATTGAGTCGCAATTGATTACTGTCTGCAGAAGAAATGACGATTAACCTTGGCCAAGAATCTTCAGATGTGTCAGGAGATGTGTACTTCTTCATCAGAGGTATTAGAATCTACATGTCTACGTTTATTGTTCTTGGATGAACCAGCTTGTTTGTGAGACATATTTGAAGTAATAGTATTCAGCACCCCTGTTCCCCACCTGCCATCGAGTGTCGACAACTCAAGGACGGTTTTGCAGTGGAAGCCAGCCTGCAACACCAGGGCTACATGGGTATTATACTCCAGCAAATGTAGACTTGGATAGCTATGAGAACTAAATGAACAAGTGCCAGGATTCAGAGGTCCATATCAACAGATCTGCTGACCCCAAACCTGAGATCGAACACCTCCGTCAAGTCTTCACTCATCTCCTCTGTACTCGATCCAAGATCTGCAACCCTTAAACCCGAATCAGCGCCCTTCCGCATCGCCATCCCATTCATAGGAAAAACCTCCCACATCATCAGCCGCCTCCTCAAACAGCCAGCCAATACGGACGCCTACTTCATCAGTTCCACATCCCCCAATACTCTGCTAAGGGCCAACGGCAGGAACACAGCCAAACCCCTAAAGGTGTAATTTATAAAACTGACTGCACCTTTGGACAATCTTACGTAGGCGAAACATCCCGCCCCATCAAAACAATAATCAAAGAGCACAAAACCTCAACCATCAAATCTGACAACAAATCAGCCGTCTCCGACCATATCAGCATCTCTCCTAATCACAACATTACAACAACGTCCAAATCCTCTCCAACAAACTCCATGATTTCACTAAAAGGAAACTAACAGAAGCAGTCCACATTCGGCGCCACAAGCCATCAATTAACAGATAGCAAGGCTATTTCATCCCATCCGCCTACTATGAACTCATTCAGCAATGATCACTACACCTATGCAAATATATCCTGTTTTATTGGCTTCATGTCCCGTTGGCCGCCACCTATGTGTTTTCTGCCCATCATGCTGTGACAGCATTATCCTTCTGTTGTCATTACTTACTCATGTTATCCCACTCATGTATGCAATTATTTTTACTGTGAATCCTCCACCTGCTTTATATCTTCTGTACAATGTTCCTCATTCAGTCCTGTTTGACAACGGTATAAGGATCTATACCGAAACGTCGCCTTTACAGTATTAACGAAGTTGTTATCCATAGAGTGTGTCTACTTCGTCCAGGAATGGGGTGCTGGGGACACAATACTATCTATCCCGGGTACCCACGGGGAATAGGAATTACAAACATTTACCAAATTTGTCCATTATCGTGAAGTAACACATCTGAATTATTTCCATGCGTGAAAGGGTGTTTACTGTTCTCTGCTGTTACGACCGGTAATTTCGTGAACAACGGGTGCCAGAGCTGTCATCCTGTTTTATAATATCATGGTATTTAGTGTTTTCTGTTTTTGATAATAAAATTAAAACAATCCATCGTTTCCCTTGGGGGCCAAGAGAGGATTTTATATCAGTTTGAGGAAACTTGACTTTCTTCGTCAGTGATTGAGCTATTAGGGAGGATCCATTTGATTTGTATGGGGTTGGTAGAAAGATTTTTTAAATTAACTTTGTTTTCAGAATTATGCCCAAAATGAATTTTTTTTGTGGCAGTGGTGGAAAAATGAATAGCTTGTTTGAATGTTAAGTGTCAGTTGGTAATTACTGCAATTTATTGGAGTTAAATTATAATTAACATAATGGGGAATACCATAACTAAAAAAATGTTGTGTTAATAGTGAAAATGAATAGACAAAAAGGGTTCCCCATCCCCCATCTAAACATACACACCAAAGACTCTTTGCTGAAATGACTAATTTAGAATTAGGAACACGAAGAGAAACGTCCTGGCCTCTTTCAGTGACTGTTACACCCACCTGTCATTATACGTTCACACCATGTACCCACGTAGCCATTGAGACACTGGCAGCTCGAGTCGGGTTGTAGAATACCGCCATTTGCACATTGTTGAGCCTGAAAAGTTAACCAAATGCAATATTTTACTGAATATACTGCCTGAACATGACACCTATCAATATAAATATTTATTATTTAATATATACTTCAGTGTGAAAGACTGAGTTTTCTGAAGTTGCGAAAAGGGATATTTTCATTGCAGTGAACATTACACTTTAACGGAACGATTGTCATACTAGAGTGACCTCCCCTGAAATTGTCTCCCTTTATCATAAGTGTTCACAAACTGTTGACTTCCTTTTTACGTCAGTTCCACACCGACAAGGCAAATAACGACAGATGGTCATTTATAGTATTAATATCGCTTCATGCCGTTTGTTATTCTCTTGAAAATGTTTCGTTATAAACTATAAATGTCTCATTTAAATCGTCAATCGAGGCTGTTTGTTTCGCAAAACGCCATTTTTATTACTTGACCAACATGTATTCTTTCGCTTCCAACAGCGGAGAGAAATATTCAAGAATATCTTTAGTAAAAGGTTTTTTTCTTTATAATCATATCTATATATATATGATATAGAATTTTTGGGACCCTAATTTTTTCTTTTGTTACTTTGGTTAATATTTTTCAAGATTTTGCAAACACGAAACTACTTTTTCATTCACCAATAAAGGGATGTTGAACCGTCCCTGTGTATTAGGTAGGGATAATTTACGTTTCAAGCTTTGAAATTTGTAATTAAATAATTAAAATTTCCGGTAGTCAACTACACAAAACGTATATAATAACTAGGATACTTCATGTGTCTCGTGATATATCATTTTCTCTCATCTCGTGAAGGGGGTTAAGGAGATATTTTCACTCGACACATGAAATATCCTCTTTTTATTATGCCTCCAAGTGAGAATGACCAATCAGAGCGCAGAACTACTCCCCACATGAGCCCGTATATTGTCAGTATAAACCCAAGATGCTTGTTACTGGCCTAATATGAGACGGTATAGCGTTAGTAACAGCCATTTTGGATTTTCCAACACCCACCTCACATATTTCGTATGAAAATTCTGGTACAGAAATTCGTTATTCGACATATTTTTATGGTTTAATACGATTAATTGTGAAGTGCAAAGACATTATTCTTTAAACCACGATCGTGACTTTATTAATGAAAATGATAGTGAAAACAAAGCTTACAACGGAGGTCACCGATTTACAAATAGCAACGTCATAGAACCTCAAATAGGATGACATCACAAACAAGAAACGTGACGCCAATGACGTCACATAGGAATAGAACAGATAGCAGCCTGTCTTTAGGGAAAGGTGGACTGCTATCAAATTACATTCGCCCGGAGATTTCTGATAACATGCGGACATTTTTATGATAATGATAAGTGACCCCCCGTGAAGACGTATCAGAACATGATGCTAAGGTCATAGGATTGCTTTTTCGCATCTGTAATACTACATATCAAAGTAGAAGAATTGGGTCGACAAGAATTAATGTTGTTCTTCAAAGGGAAATGAGTCATACATATCTTTAATTAGTTATTAGGAATGGCATAGGTATTGACTGGACTATCGACACATCGCATTTGTCGATAATCTGATGGCGACATATATCGATCATGAATAAAATTTGCAATAGTTATATTCAATGACACGCATTACACTATCGATGGTATGGATAAACGAAAGAAAATAACACAATACTATTAATTACTAACTTTTCCATTCGTCTTATCCATAATACAGGCAAAATAGCGGTGAAAATTATATGAATGAATGTCATATATTTATACAATTTCAATCATAATTACTTTATTCCTACTTTTTCTCTCGAGAACATCCCCCCCCCCCCCCCCCCCCCCCCCACACACACACACACACCCCGACCCACCCCACTGCCCCAACACCGGCCCCCAACTCTCACACTTATTATCAAATGTTCGGTTCCTGACCTCTTTTGCAATGAGTGTCCAAAGTGTGTATAACCTCCTACATCAAGATTGAAAAATAAGGCTGTCGAGAAATTGAAGTATTGATGTGGAAGCTGATGTGGATTACGTTCTTCCTTTTATCACACCGGAAATTCGATAGCTCTTCCGCACGTTTCAGGAATCAAAGTATTGATCGATAGAAACTTCAGATTTGTTTGACAATTCCATGCAAAATGATTTGGCTAAATTCGTCCTATGTATGTCCTAGATTCCTCATCCATTTTACCATGCCAACTATCTGATAACAATAAATATTACCTTATAATCACCTGGAAGATATATGGTGCCCGTTCATGAGATGAAACAGAATATATTTTCCCTTGAACCATGGTTAAGCTAGGTCTCTATTAATGAAGGGTCCATTAGTGCAAAGCTGCCAAAGACAATGGATCCCAGAAGTTCTAAATACATCAGCTCCAAGGTACACATATATATAGCTTTCATGAAAGAAAATTCGATCATCATTTTTACTCACAGAAATACGAATTTTTATCTTTAGCACATTATGTTTATTTTCGTTTGTTTTGACAATACAAGTTCATAATAAGAAAGTCACTAGGCTTGCAAGAACAAATCTGATGAATTGAAAAAATATGTGTAGTCACTTTTTTCAGGCCAAAAATAGTCCAAATATGGCGTTCAACTTGGATTTTCAGTGGTTTTGATTTTTCAACAGTATACTGCAGGGCCACCTCAAGAGCCAAGCAAAAGGAAGTATACATTTACATAAGTTACAAAAAACACTGCAATTCTAAGGTCCAAAACACAAGGTCTTAACAAGGGTGTACTTAATAAATGCTTGACCAAAATCAAATTTGATGAACGGAATATGCATAAAACAGACGATAATTAATAACAGGCGAAATTGTCCCAACAACAAAAAAATCCGCCAATGGTGTTAAAACGGGTTCTCCACCAATGGGATAAAAGTGGTTCTCCACAACTGGGGTTAAAACGTTCCCGGTGTTGACTTGGGTCGCAATATTTCAATGATCGGACTGCGCCAAGTCTGTCTGCTTCATCCTCGGATTTTATAATTGCATTACGTTATTTTCTGTCTGCTTATCAAAAGAAAATAGTAAAAAAGAAAATTGAAATATCTGGTGATGATATGGAAACAAAAACAGCGTGGGTGGGGGTGTATCTTTGAGCAGAAGATGTCAGGTGGCAGTAGGTGGGCTAGTCTTGTTGGAGGTTGAGTAGATCCCAGGGTATGTCTCGAGGCTTATTGGCGACTTAAAAGAAGCATACTGAGCACTTTCAACTGAACATTTAAATACTTTCTACGGATGTTATGCTTTTTTCTGTCTGGAATTGACTTAATGTATCTTGGAAAATTGATACTCGAAACAAAATCGCAATAATCTTTTTCACTTCACTTGCACTTTAGTTAAAGGTCTCGGCCAAACTTCCCGTTTTTAATTATGGCAATTCGAAAAGATTCTGAGTCGTATGAAAAAGGTGTTGTGAAAATAAATTGAATTGTTTAGCAGAAAACAAATGTGCATTTTGAAGACGCCCCTCCGTTTTAAAGAGTGGATCCGTTCTGAAAAAAACCTATACTGGCCAAAAAATGAAACACATAGCTGAAATCTGTTTTTCTTGACTGTTATTAAAGATGAAGGCTTGAACTCAATATAAATGTCATTGCTAACTGTGAATATTGACCTTACACTAATTTATTGCACAAGAACACAACATTTGGTGACTTGTCGCCAAAATACAGCATCTTGAAACCAAACTGGGAGAAATTGCATGGAGAAAAGGCTGTAAGCATGCTGCACGTGCAAATACGGCTACTTAACCTTTATACCGATGGGTATAAAAATTTGGCAGTCCTGCTGCGAATCACTCTCCGATGTTCTGTATGCGTGACTCTCATGATGTCAAGACTGAATGAAGACTGTAGAAACAGAGCCATTGGACGTCTGGAAGCTGGAGAAAGTCAGACATCAGTAGCCAGGCACTTTAACGTGAGGCAGAGTACCATTTCTCGTCTGTGGCAGCGCTAGAGACTCCACAACTCTACAAGAGATCGACCGAGAAGTGGAAGACCCAGGGTCACAACTGCGGCGCAGGACTGCTTCATCCGGGTGTTGCATCTTCGCAACCGGACAATCAGTGCAGCATACACAGCTAACAATGTTCCTGGTCTTCTAGAGTCTCCGCGCAAACCATCAGAAATCGTCTAAGACAGCATGGGATACGGCCAATGAGACCATCTACAGCGCCCGTTCTGTGGCAACATCATCGTCGTGCACGTCTGCAATGGAGCAGAAATGTTCGACCATGAACCCTAGAAGGATATGGTACTGGAGAAGGATATGGTTCAGTGATGAGTCGCGGTTCATGCTGTATCGCCATGATGGTAGGATGGTTGTCTACAGACTGAGAAATGAACGCTACACTCGACACTGTATTTATGAAGTCGACCGATACGGCGGTGAAAGTGTCATGACGTGGGCAGGCATCTCCGTGGCAGGCCAGATCTGGTGCACGTGCAAGGAAATTTAACTGCTGTACGCTACCGTGATGAAATCCTTCAATGTCACCTTATTCCCGCCATTGACGTCAGCAGAGAGATTTCCAAGCAAGACAACGCAAGACTGCATACTGAACGTGTTACCATGGATTATCTTGCCCACAACAATGTTACTGTGCTGCCATGGCCCTCCAAATCGCCTGATCTAAACCCCATTGAACCTTTGTGGGATCTGCTAGACAGACGTGTACGACGCCAACAGCCTCAACCACAGACGCTTCAACAGCTGAACCATGCATTGCAGGATGAGTGGAGAAGGATTCCACAACGCCAGATTCGACGACTCCTACAGTCCATGCCCAAGCGGTGCAGAGCTGTGATCGATGCTCGTGGTGGTAACACCCGGTACTGACTTTGGCACAGTGCCATCACAGACACAGACGTGCCTTAGAACATTAAATGACTGTTTGTAGTGTAAGAAACATGTGCCTCATCCTGTGTAAAATTTGGTTGTTGTATCTTAATTATTTTTTGTGCAATCCTATTTCATTAAACATGTAAAGAAACACTGATTATGCTGTTATGTGTTTCTTTTTTGGGCCAGTGTATATAGTTTCCTTGACACACGTTATTTTTAAGAATTAACTCGATTATTTTGAAACAGAAATATTGAAGTCTATTCTTATAAATAAATGTGTCAACAACTTCAGAGACACCACTGACACACACAAAAATGTAGACAATACTACATCAGTGACATCGTTAAGCGCAAGTATAAAACCCAAGCCCCACCCTCCATATTATAAACCAATAAGGAAACATAAACGCCAAAAATTAAATTGCATGCTTAGCCATTCAAATGCCATGCAATCACTTACAATGTCCTTGGTACACGTAAGGAAACATGGCATATTAGATGTTGATTGGTATTGGTAACAAACAATAATACCCACTAAACCCGAGTCAGCTAAGAAAGTATAGTGAGTGAGTGAGTTGGGTTTAGCGCCGCTTTTAACAGTATTCCAGTTATATCACGGCGTGTCAGCTTAATGTGGGAGGAAAGCCCGAAGTGATGCAGGTCTAAGACGTTTAACACTTCGGTGAAACCCCCGAGCACGGGTATGGTGCTGACAAACCTAGAAACATAATCGGGGCGAACCGGGATCCGAACCCACAATCATAGGTTTCTGGCGTGCCCAAAGGACGCAACTCCGCACAGCGAATCTCGGCGCCTTAGACGACTGGGCCACCCGTGCCCCCTAAGAAAGTATAAGAAACATGTATTGAAAACAAATTCAAACTGCGAATTTTTGGCTGTCGAGCCTATTGCTCTGCTTAACGCGTCACGTGTAATGTGCACCACGGAACCAGACACTAACATGAGGATCTCGATTCTATATTGAGAAAATATTTTGCTTCGGCTTTGAACAATGTATGCTGTGACATTTGTGGAATTATAAAATTGTAATCAGAATTGCTATCAGAATGACTCAGTTTTTAAGAAGTATGTCAGTGCATGTTATTAAACAATGCTTTTTTTCATGTTATATACATAAGAATGTATAGACCATCTCTAAAGTTAATGAATCGCACCTAAAGCAAACACGCTGTGATACTGCCATAATATTACACAACACAGTAATGCAGCAAGCATAACGTCATTATCCTCCGGCAGCCCTAATTCTACTTTTATCCATATAAAGGCAGCATCTCCATTGTTTTGCTACTCGTACTCGGATTAACGCCAATTCACAGGCTTCTATTCGCGACTATTTGAAGGTACATTCAGTTGTCAGATGTCGACATTGTTCAACACTTTTGTAATGTTTACATTTCATTTTACAATCAAATTAATACATTTTGACGAAACTCTTCCAAATAATTGTTTTGGACAACTAGAAGCCTGACCCTGCCACACATATTCAAGACGTAAACGAAAGCCCAAGGCAACGCTTGTGAAGATGCTGTTAGAGTGACTGAGTGAGGTTTAACGCCGCTTTTAACAGCATTCCAGTTATATCGTGGTGTGTCAGCTTAATGTAGGAGGAATGCCCGAAGTGATGCAGGTCTCAGATGTTCACCACTTTGGGAAAGCCAAGGGTATTGTGCTGACAAACCTAGAAACATAATCGGAGTGAATCGGGATTCGAACCCACAATCATAGGTTTCTGGCGTGCCAAAGGGACGCAACTCTTCAGAGCGGCGCCTTAGACAACTGGGCCATTCGTGCCTCCTAGATGCTGTTAGAGTTCAAGCGGGTCCTCCTATGGTTATGATATATAACAGATATTACAGTTTCTTGAGCTGGTAACATGAAAGAAATTTCCATGAACAATTTATTTTTGAACATATCACATGAGTTATACAATGGATCATATCTAAATCCACTTAAGCGAAACGGGTTTGAAGACAGGTGAGAAAAATAACAACATGTTTGCATGCTTATCGGCTTTTCTATGGGCTCTTAGCCACCCTGGCATCTTGTGCGTACACACACTTCATTCATTCTAGTTCAGTCACTTATGGAATATCTCAATACACATGAATGACTGAAGGTTATTTAACGCCGCTGCCGACATTATTCCAGCTATATCATGGTGGAAAATATATAAACCAATGGTCTGGAGCCGATAAACCGATGGTTGAAGCCATGCCATGAGCCAAGTGTGCTGACTACCCGATTAGGACGTGATTACGGCACTGAGGACCTATTCTGACCTGGAATTCCCCCATGAAGAATAACAAAATCTACAATAAGAATAACGGGTCCGTTATACAAGTATAAGGACATTTATGTAGTCTTTGACTGGATTGACTTTCGACCTTAAATGTACTCATACCTTAACGTAGTAAACCATTTCCGAAGTAATGTCCATCTTCGAGCAATCCCCTTGATCAAAGTCTGTGTTGAGATGGCACATCCTGGAGAGGGAACCGTAATGAAAGGACTTGCAGAAATCACTCTCAGAACATTTTCTTCCGCAGTCCAACTTCGTCACATCACGAATTATCAAGGATATGTACCCGCTCTTCATGATCTGTCCAGGACATGAGGTCAGAACCTGGTAATTGTCTGTCTTTATCGCACACATTGCGGGTGTCAGAAGAACGGCCAGAAAATGGCCCACGATAAGCATTGCATGTAGAACATCCATAGTGCGTCTCCCTCTCTTCCAATACCTCTTGCATAGACACGTATGTTTATCAACTGACGAGGTCTGCAGCCCCGATTGTCTTGTACACGACAGATATTGGCTTAAGGCAATGTCTCTGGTATATAGACAATGTCTCAGTGTCCTGTTTTTTTCATTAATTAACGTTACAGAGGCAAATAGGCCATTTTTTGGTTGGAGGCGTGTCTCAACGCTCAGTAGTTTTCTATTTCTATTTATCATTTATTATGTATCTTTAACGAGGCAAAGATATCGACCAAGATACACTATGAATCTTGTAATTACTGATAACTTTCTGAACAGACGAACTTTCTCTGCAGTGGATAACGAACTATTATTATACATATTTTATGTAACTGTCTGAGTTTGTCATCTTAATACAATGCAGATGTCTTACATAAGTCGACATTAACCCCATCAAGTTTTCACTTGTGAAACAGACTGAAAAACGTTTCAATAAAAACGAAAAACTAAAGTTCGATGAGGTGAACCTCATCTCACCCAACCCTTTGACAGCCGAATGCTATCCTTAATGATCACCGGGAGGAGAGATGTTATTGTGTTGCTTTTATTGAGGTGCCGTACGTCCTTGGAAATCAATGTGAAAAGTTCGATATCTGCCATATCACAATTCCCTTGATACTGAGTTGAGAATAAACTAATCACAGTGAACAAACCCGCCAATCTTGTTTACCTGAAATTTATTATTGTGTAACGGTTGCGCACTTATGATTCAAAGTCAATGTTTTTGACTGATGTTTCAAGAAGACAGAGTAATATATTCTACTTGAATAATTTGAATAAGACCTTTCCAATGCTGGATCAGTAAATGGCATAGAAAATGTTGACAAATAGTTTTCACAACCGGACTTACCAATTTTGTTTATAGCCAAATCTGAAATCTCTAATGTATATTTTATAGGTCAGGGTATTGGCACAATACGAAAAACACAAGTTAACACATTATGGAGTCTGTTTCGTCATTTGGTCGGTCTTGTTGTTCTCTGGCGTACTTGAACTGGTCAATGTTTCTGCTGGTGGACTGAAGTCCTCGAGTTTCGTCATATACGTAGCAGCATTCATCATTTATGCTGAGTCAACTACAAAAGAAATGTTTGGGCCAAGACATTAAAACTGCCCGCCACCGACTGTTGAAAACATAAACGTTGTTTCTTTACTCATAAGCAACATAATCTGCACGTGTACACAGCAGATGTGATTAAATATTAACGTATCGTTTTTTGTTTCAAAACAATCAGTAAATTATCTTGTTTGTTTGGTTTGTTTACATGCCAGCGTCGCATGGCAGGACTGTTGCTGTGCAGCTTCAGACAACACACACATACTTTTTGAAGCAAATTTTGTAAATGGCGGGTGATACAGGTAGGTCAGGGGGTGCTTATTCATTTGGCGAGACCTAGTGTCATCACTGATATTCAGTGGTCCATTCCGACCCCAGCACCGACCCCCAACTCTCACACTCAGTATCCAATGGTCAGTTCCTGACCTCTTTGCAGTGAGTGTCCAATGTGTGTATAACCTTCAACATCTAGATTAAAAAATAAGCCTGTCGAGAAATTGATGTATTGATGTGGAAGCTTTTTATGATTACTTTTTTTCTTTTATCACACTGGAAATTCGATAGCTCTTCCGCACGTCTCAGGAATCAACATATTGATCGATAGAAACCTCGGATTTGTTTGACAATGTCATGCAAAGTGATTTTGCTAAATTCATATATTTGTCCGAGATTCCTCATCCATTTTACCATGCCAACTATCTGATAATAATATATATTACCTTTTTATCACCTGAAGGATGAGGATGGAGGTCCTCCTAAAATTAAATTCTTGAACGTACAACAAACCAATCCACCCCCAAACCCCCATTTGTAGTAATAGTCGGCTACATACATAAAGGAAAATCAACATGTTATCTTTGCAGGTTTTAATACTTTAGGGTGTACTTAATAAATGCTTGACCAAAATCACATTTGATGAACGGAATAAGCATAAAACAGACGACAATTAATAACAGGCGAAATTGTCCCCAAAACGAAAGAATCCGCCAATGGGGTTAAAACTGGTTCTCCACCATAAAAGTCGTTCTCCGCCGCTGGGGTTAAAACGTTCCCGGTTTTGACTTGGTTTGCAATATTTCAATGATCGGACGGCGCCCAGTCTGTCTGCTTCATCCTCGGATTTTTTAATTGCATTACGTTATTTTCTGTCTGCTTATCAAAAGAAAATAGTAAAAGAAAATTGAAATATCTGGTGATGATATGGAAACAGAAAAAGTGTGGGTGGGGGTGTATCTTTGAGCAGAAGATGTCAGGTGGCAGTAGGTGGGCTAGTCTTGTTGGAGGATTGGCTGTTGGATTGGAGGACATTTTATGTGCTGGGACAGTTGCCTGCCAGCATAGTCCTTAGTTCCTTCATGTGGTCTGATGTGGCCACTCGTTAGGTCCTGGAGATGTAAAGACTGGCTGTGTGTTTAAGGATCTTAGAGTCTACGTTTTATCCATTCATTTTTATTTGGTAAAGGGAGTTGATGAAAGCTTTGACGTGTGTGAAGGGGAACTCGAAACGCTGCTCACCAAAACATTGCACAGTGGTGTTCTTCAGTAAAGTCTTCGAGGAAGAGTAAATGTTACTCTCTCCATCAAAAGTGAGATTGGCAGCTTTTGATCTGTCGAATTCGATATCGGGTAGCGTCTGTTGGGCTTCTTGGTCGAAGATACCAGGTGGGCTTAAGCTAGTCTTGAGGACACGTCCCTGGAAGGCGGTTTGGAGAGCCAGGTTTGGTGACTCCGATTTCTGCTTTGTGGTGAAGACCGGGCGTTGGTGAGAGGCGGGAGAGATAGCCGGGGCCTTTCTTCTTCTCTTCCCCCTGACTTGTTTGGTATCATCGGCTGCCTACTGGATTCGGTAAGACCGTCCTCTCTGGTATTGTCTTATTGTAGTTGAATTGTGTTGACGAAGACTTACATCTCGGTGTCAGAGTTTTCCGATGAGGCTGTGTGGAGGTCTTCCCTAGCAGATGTCTGGTTGTTCCTCCGAGGAGCTTTTGTTGTGGGGTGCTTGGAGGTCCTCACATACTTAGGGTGCCAAATGTCGAACATGATTGTCAGTGTTCGTGTGCCCTCTTTGTAGTTAGATCTGCAAGTTGGTGGCACCAACGGAGAGGTTCGATGAGGTTGAGGAGATCCCAGGGTATGTCTCGAGGCTTATTGGCGACTTAAAAGAAGCATCCATAGCACTTTTAACTGGACATTCAAATACTTTCTACGAATGTAATGCTTGTGACTTAATGTTGAGAAAATCGCAATCATTTTGTTCTCTTCATTTACGATTTAGTTATAGGTCTTGGCCAAATTTCCCGTTTTTGATTATGGCAATTCAAGAAGATTCTGAGTCGTATGAAAAATGTGTTATGAAAATAAATTGAATTGTTCAACAGAAAACAAATGTGCATTTTGAAGACGCCCCTCCATTTTAAAGAGTGGATCCCTTCTAAAAAGGTGTAACTATATAGTTTCCTTGACACACGATATATTTAAACAGAAATATTTAATTCAATTCTTATAAATAAATTTGTCAGCAACTTCAAACATGCCACTTACACACAAAAACCTGTAGACAATCCGACATCAGTGACATCGTTGAGCGGAATAATAAAACCCAAATCCCGCCCACCATATTATAAACCAATCAGGAAACAGTTGTCTGAATTTCCTTTTGCTCAAAGTTAAACGCCGAAAAATATATTGCGTGCTTAGCCATCCAAATGCCATGGAATCACTTCCAATGTATTACTTGGTACATGTAAGGAAACATGGCACAGTAGTTGTGCTTGGTTATGGTAACAAACACTAATACCAACTAAAACCGAATCAGCTAAGAAAGTATAGGAAACATCTGTTGAAAACCAGTACAAACTGCGGACTGTTGGCTGTCGAGCCTATTGCTCTGCTACACGTGTCACGTGTAATGTGTACCGCGGAAACCAGACAATAACATGAGGATCTCGATTCTACATTGAGAAAATATTTTGCTTCGGCTTTGAACAATGTATGCTGTGACATTTGTGGAATTATAAAATTGTAATCAGAATGGCTATCAGAATGACTCAGTTTTTAAGAAGTATGTCAGTGCATGTTTTCAAACAATGCTTTTTTCATTTTATATGCATAAGAATGTATAGACCATCTGCGTTAATGAATCGCACCTAAAGCAAACACGCTGTGATACTGCCATAATGTTACACAACACAGTAATGCAGCAAGCATAACGTCATTATCCGCCGGCAGCTCTAATTCTACTTTTATCCATGTAAAGGCAGCGTCTCTATTGTCTAGTTATACTTGCTACCCGTCCTCGGATTAACGCCTATTCACGACTATTTGAAGGTACATTCAGTTGTTAGATGTCGACATGGTTCAACACTTTTCTAATGTTTACATTTCATTTTACAATCAAATAAATACATTTTAACGAAACTCACCCAAATAATTGTCTTGGACAACTAGAAGCCTGACCCTCCCACACATATTTAAGACGTTTACGAAAGCACAATGCGATGCTGGTGAAGATGCTGTTAGTAAGTGAGTGATTGAGTGAGTGAGTGGGGTTTAACGCAACTTTCAGTTATTCCAGTTATATCGCGGCGTGTCAGCTTAATGTAGGAGGAAAGCCCGAAGTGATGCAGGTCTCAGACGTTCACCACTTTGGGAATACCAACGAGCATGGGTATGGTGCTGACAAACCTAGAAACATAATCGGAGTAAACCGGAAATCGAACCCACAATCATAGGTTTCTGGCGTGCCCAAGGGACGCAACTCTGCACAGCGAATCTCGGCGCCTTAGACGACTGGGCCACCTGTGCCCCCTGGTGCTATTAGAGTTCAAGAGGGTCCTCCTATGGTTATGATATATAACAGATATTACAGTTTCTTGAGCTGGTAATCGTAATGATATGGCTGAAATATTGCCGATGTGACGTAAATCATAAACTCACACACTCACTTGAGCTGGTAACATGAAAAAAAATTCCATGAACAATTTATTTTTGAACATATCATATGAGT